TTATTGTGATACTTGCTGGGGTAGGGGAGGGAGGGATGAGTGAAACAAGATTGCTGCTATCCAGGAGCTTAGGGTCCTTTGTGCCTGCTGGTCTAGTAACCAGGAGGTGGTGCTTTCACAGGAGACAGGAGCCTCTCAGAGGTTTTCATCTAGCAACTGAGATCATCTGTTGTAGCCTGTCCCTGTTTGTAAGATGTTTGCTTACTTATTACTTTATGATGTGCATTTTGAATTAAACTTATTATAATAATTGTAATTATTTTAATTAAATAACTACATGATAATGGAATCATTGACTTTGGAAAACAGTTGAGCAGAAACTTGAAGCTTACTGCCTTTCCTTGAGAAATCCCAGTGAAATGACTGAAAAACCAAAAATGGTATGAATGACAGGACAATGAGAAGAAGAAAGGAAATCAAATTGTGTAATTAGCGCATGGAAGAGTAAAGACTATAACAGGGCCGCTACCACAAATCCCTCAAAATGGGAGGTAGAAGGTGGGGCCAAAAGCATGGATCTGTGGGGCAGGCGGACCCCCACCCCGTGCAGCCAGATTGATGTGACCCCTCCTCAGCAGGAGCAGATACGGGCCACCTAGAACAGGTGAGCAACAGAGATTTAGAACATAGTGGAATGAGGCACAACTACAACTGAGTACCCGGTGGGAGGTGCTGACAGCAGGGCCATTAAGTGACAATCTAAATGTAATCAGTGTGACTGCAAGCACGCCCACCTCCCTCAGTGCCCTCGTGCTGGTGCCACCTCCTGCTCCTGCACCCTCTCCCAACCCAGGCAGGATATTGTGGGATTCTCAGAGTATCGCAGATTCCTCCTGGAGGTACTGAACAACCCAAGGGAGGTGGGCAGTGGGTGTGGGCGAGGGCTGGGCCTGCAATCACCCCTGCCCTCCGGTGAGCCAGCTTGCCCAAAGCCAGTCCTGGTACTGTTTCACTGCTCTCAGCTTCTCTGCAACCTCCTGCATTCTTCTCTGGAGACATCGTGGAAATTTGAATCTCAAGGCTGGTTTGAGTCAGGTGCTGGACTGCACGTAGGCCAGCAGCTGAGTGGCAGCCAGTCATTTCTCCCAGACTTCAGTGTGACAACTCCGGGGATCTAAAGTGTTTCTGCTAACAGCCAGGGCATCGGCAGACATGGGGACAGGGTTTGCGTTCAGATTTTTTAAAAAATTATACATATATTAAGTAACAAGAGCGGAAAAAGCAAGTATAACCATGGCTTTTCTTTCTGTGTGATACCCTGGAGCTAAGTGGCACCTTTACTTCAGCAGCATTCCTAACAGTTTTGTCACCTGCAGCATGGTGTGTAAGAAAATGGCAGCAGGCAAGGCTGCTGCAGGTGTGTGTGTCTGTGGTCCCTGGCATTGTTTACAATAGTGGCCTTGAAAACGCTGTTATCATGCATCCCATCAGTAAAAAAAAAATGGAGCATGTAATCTGAAGAGATATAGCCGCCTCTATGCTGTTGTACTGACTATGGACATTATAAAACATGAAAAATAGCTATCTGGAAAGCTATTTTTAAATAAAAGTCCAAGTTTTTTTCCCTACACTCCAATTAACTGTTTATCACTTTTAGAGACAGCTGATGTAGACACATACCATCTCCATGTTTTACTTCCCTCCTTCTGTTTATCTTTTAATGACACCCCATCCGGGCACACTCCCCAGGGTGTGAGCAAGGAAGGGTAGAGCCCACATCTTTCCAAGAGGAATAATTCTCTTAACAGTTTACTGCTTATGAGACTTCACAAAACATTTTTTTCCCCACTCAGATACCAACTATTGACTTCTTCCAAAACACATCCAAACTCCATGCCATGATGAATTCTAATACAGACTCCTCCCACCTTCACCGCACGCTGTGACAAGTCAGGAAACTGAGGCTCCTAGAGGGGAAGTGGTTTGTGCCAGGACCGCTGAGTTAGGACCAAAACCCCTGGCCCTTGAGTCATTTCTGTCCTCTTCCTAGGATTCCATGGTGGTACTAAAACTTCTCAGAACCCCTTTAACCCATTTTGATCACTTTGGTATCTGAGAGTTGTAAAATGCAGTGTATAGGATTTAGCTTCTCCTGATTTGCTGCCATTTCCTGATTGACTTGGAACTTGAATTCTCTGAAGCTAAGGGGGAGTTTTAAGGGCGTAGACACTGGCTGCCTTTCTTCTGTTTTTCTTTTTTCTTGTTTTCCTTTTGTCCTACTGACTTTGAGGGAAGTTGTTTCTGTGACTGTGTAGGAAGCTTGCGATTGTGGATTCTTTTCTTTCATCAAGAGGTGAGCCCGTCTTACCCGGCCTCCTGGGTGTTTGCTAAATAAACCCAGTGTATTCTAGCGAATCACTTCTCTTTTACAAACTGGAAGTGTCCTGATTGTTGCCAGCTTCGCCCATGAGTGTCCCTGAGAACCTAACAGCACTGAGCCTCAGTAAAAATGACAGAGTGCACCTCACCTTGCTCGCTGCCCAGGACCGAAGCTCCCAGAAAGCTTCCATGTTCCCCTCTTCAAGGAAAACACTCCTGTGGTTTTAGCTTTAAAGCTGAGTGAATGAGAGAGATTCCTCTTTGCAGTTCAGCTTCAGGCTTATTATAAGGCTTTTTGTTTTATCCTACTTTTCATGTATTTTTACTGAACAAAAAAGTTCAAAAGATGTTTTTCTTGGAAAACATGTCTAGCCAGGAATATCTGAAGGAATGAAATAATGTCTATTTAAAGCAAAGAAATTTGTGTTTCCCAATTGGCAAATTAGAATCTTTTTTTTTTTTTTTGCCAGTGTTAGAAAAATGGTTGTGTTCTTAGCTACTATATATTTGTTGTAAGTGATGTAGTGGTGAAAACCAATCTGGTTGGTTTGTTTGTTTTTTTTTTTTTTTTTTGCTTCTCTATAGAAAAAGGAATCGATAGGAAATAAAAGATCTTTGCTTCATTTGCCCTGAAGGGGAAAGGCTCCCGGGGTACTGCTTGCATGCAGATCTCAGATGTCTTCCCTCAGGTTTCTGTGTGGGTTTGTTCTAGGAGTCCTGGGGCGGGGGAGGTGCTTGTGCCTGTTTTGCATTCTGGCAGCTACTTTTTAAAAAGGAAAGCCTCTTGGTCCCAGAGGTGCAGGGCATGCGCAGTGCTGGGGCTGTGCCTGCTCCCGCTGGGCCCTGAGTGCGAACCACAGAAAAATGGCGGCGGTGCAGAAGGCCCGGCTCTCGTGGTTTTGAACAGACTCTACTACCTTGTTTTTTTCTTTTCTAAGACTTAAAAAAAACGAAGTATTACAAAGGCATTAAGCCAGCAAGCGACAGGCAGCAAGTGTGTGGTACAGGGGCAGTTAGGTGTTAGAATTTAATGAAGATGCCAGAGCCATTAAAGTTATAGTTTGTAAACACCAGGACCGGATGTGGCTCTCTTCATGCCCTCCCCACCCATAGGGAAGCTGTGAACTTTGTGTACTGAATTCTAGGAGCAAACAGTGGGAAAAACAAAACACGAAATGTATGGAATAAGAGAGGATGTGGGGCCAAAGGCTGACGCAGAACTTTATTGAGAATAATGATGATGTATATAGTTAGTACTCAACTGAGAGAGACCAGATACCAAGGAATCCTTTCTGTCCAATTATCCCACATGTAAGACATGTCTATACATTTCTCAGGAAATAATTTTTGAGTGTCTACCTTCAGATTGAATACTAGTTGAGGGCTGGGGAGAAACCCAGAAGGAATAATAGACTATAAGTACGTACTTTTTATACTCGTATAAATATCTGTGTCTTGCATCCCCAACTGCTCTACCCCAAACTCTCTTGTTTAATAGTTAATCTGAGTCACATTAAAGTTTGTGTTGATAATATCAGTTCCCCATGTCTTGAGAAATTCAATGACTGTTTATTCTCTAGAGCTGTGCTGTCCAGTATAGTAGCCACTAGTCCATGTGACTATTTAAATAAACTCTAATGAAATAAAACTAAAAAGTCAGTTTCTTAGTTGTACTAGTCACATTTCAAGTGTGTAGTAACTAGGGGCTACTGTATTAGATAGCATTTTCATCACCCAGAGAGGGCTGCTGGGCAGTGCTTGTCGAGAGGCTAGCAGTGTTTTCATATTTATGGAAGAATTGGTTATTTTTATACTCTGCACTGGGGATGTGCTTTGTTGACAGACAGGTGCCTGGAGCTGGATGGGATAGGCAGCCTGATGAGTGCCCAGTGTGTCACATTGCTCTATACCGTGGGGTCACATAGAACAGCCTGGGTTGGGAAAGGCTGTTGGAATGTGGTGCTGCAGTAGCACCTTTTGCACTTGCTGATGGGATGCAGGATGGTGTCTGGTTTACTGGATAGGCGTAAGAGGCAGAGCGGCCCTTGCAGCTGGGTGACCCTGGGCAAGTCACTAAACTTTTCTGAACCTGTTTTCTCATCATACCTACTTCCTACGTTTGTTATGAGAATGGTGTTAGATAGAGTGGAATAAGGAAAATGAAATACTTAGCACTGTGTGAGCTCATCGCATAGTAAGCATGTGCTCAATCATTTTTTTATATTCGTAGTAATAACAGTGGCACTTCTTATTCTTGTTGAGGCCAATTTCTGTCTTCCTGATATGTGTTGCTTTCCCTCTTTTAAATCATTTCTCTCCTTTCTTTGCTTTATTTCTATTCTCTTTATTAAGTCTTTTTCTTTTGATTTAAGGGCCTTGGGCAACTCTGCAGTGATACTCAGGATTGTCCCCTCATTGCGGTGGCACAGTGGAGAATGGGGAATTCTCCACTGAAAAATGAGACCAAACTCCTATAATGATTCAGAGAAACAGCGCCTTTGACCAGTGTTTCGGAGGAAGCTGGTACACTCAGGCCCAGGGGCCGCGTGGAAATGATTGGCCAGCAGGGACGGGGTCCCCCAATGCGCCCTCATTAGCATTGCCCTGTAACTTGGTCAACTACCTGTCATGAGAGCCATAGCCAGAAGGTCCCTGCTGACGATCTGTCTTTCCTTCTGTAGCAACAAAGGAGAGAGCGTGAAGCTAGAAGGCAGCAGGAACGTGAACAGCGACGGAGAGAGCAGGAAGAGAAGAGGCGCCTAGAGGAGCTGGAGAGAAGGCGGAAAGAAGAAGAGGAGAGGAGACGGGCAGAAGAGGAGAAGAGGCGAGTGGAGAGAGAACAGGTCAGTTCACAAGGAGCGTTCCAGCGTGAGTGAGGTTGTGAGGGTCGGTACTTTGCAGAGTTGGGGTATTTGCGGCAAAAAGTACAGACGCATGTGTGTGCATGCACCCAAGTTCAGGACATTAGAGGTTTAAAAATGCTGAAGCACAATTGGAAGTGCACCAGTAAACGGAGTCTCTTGTCTTTAAAAAAAGATACATAAATTAATATGCATTACAAACCTCTGGAAACCAGCTAAATGGTCTCCAAATAGTATGATGGCTGAAAAAATTTCTTAATACATCCTCTTGGGTCTGGCTTAAATGCTTCAAACCTCACATATCTGGATGATAACCTTTTTTAAAAAAATGAAATTAAAAACCAAGTGTAAGAAATTTCTATGAGAAATGTTGGAAGCAGCCACTGGCTAACCAAATATTTCATATATACTGGCATATAATTCAGTACATACTATGTAGCATTAGAAAAAGTAACAACGTTGTTGTTTTGTTTAACAAAAAAAAAAAAAAATCAGGTTCAGTAATATGTATAGCGTTTGGTAATGCCACATAATAGTTGTCTTTATAAATCTCTTAGTTCCTTGAACCACCTGTGCAAACAACATCAACTGCCTTTTGTCATCTTTCGTGTTAGCGGGAGTCCCATTACCAGCCTCACTGCCTTTCATGCCTTTGAGTTGATCACTCTTTGTTATATGAGCTTTGAATAAAGAAAAAAGTTATGAATGGGGACCAATTTAAATAATGCTTGAAATTCATACTTAAAATATTTAAAAAGAAAAAACCACAATGGTATTAACTTCCAAATTTGGTTAATCAGCTATTATCTTTGATACTAATTATAGGCCTTGTGTTTTCTTGGGTCTGCATGCTTACCAGTTTTGCCTAGGAATTTAAGTGATATTGTTTATCTGTTACCTTATTGATATTATTGGCCAGTTAACTGGTATGTTTTGTTTTTTTCACATTCTAATTTATATTTGGGAATTACAAAGAGGAGAAAACATATACACTTTTAAAAATTAAATCACCTTAGGGATAATTTTCACAATTTGATTGTGAGAGGATGATATGAAAGTAACACTTAATCTTTATTGTTTTAATGGCAGTCATTCCCTTTTGTGTATAGCAAGTATTCTTCACCTCTTCTTTATAAAAAGTAGCATCAGAATTCACTTTTATTCTGTTTTTCTTATTCTATTGAAAAGTCACTATTGCCCTGTTGATAGCTGTATAGGAAACATGTCATTTTTGCATAAGTGTGCTTGTTCGTGTACATGTATAATTACACTCTGTGTGTTCATTGATTGTGAGGGCCTTTGTAATTTGGATAGATGTGAATTTTCCAGTTGTCCCTGTGTTTTGAAGGCAGAAAATAAATGAGTGGACTGAGTTATGGTTGAATTCTGTCTAGTTCAAAGAAGAGCGGAGCTGGGAGTCAGATCCCTTTCTTTTGTCATTGCTGGGGCACGCCACCCATCACGCAGGGCAGCCCTTGGCACAGCGTGTGTTGTGGAGGATTAGGCTCACATGTACAGGTCGGGAGCCCCGGGTGCCATCAGGGGCGTTGGCTAGTGGCCTTGCAGACGTGCTGTCCCCCACATGGGCTCTTTTGGGCTAAATTTCCCTAAGGAAATTTATGTCATAATTTCCGTTACCCAGAATTCTCTGAACCAGGATTATTGGTTAATTAACACTCTGTTCAGCCCAGATGTATGGTTATTTTTATCTTAAGGTGTGCACTTTGGTATAAGTGGATGGTCTGCAGTAGACGCTATAAAGAAATCTGAATTTCAGTATAAATTTGCCCTCATAGATGCTTTTAGTCTACTCCCCTTCTAGAGTAGTTAGCTTTCTTTCCTGTTGAAATGGAAGGAAACTTCCTTTGTCTGTAGAATGTTTTGTTCTTTTCAGTTATTTTATATCTCAGAATATTCAAGCCTCACAAGATGTCCTGAGAGTTGGAGGGAGTATTGTTGATACTTATTTCTCACATGAGGTGACTGAGTAAACGGGAGGTTGAGGGCTTGCTAGAGGTTGTAGGTCAAGGTCTCTTGCTTTCCCAGGCAACTAAATATGCATGCAGCTTCAAGGTTGGATCTTTCCTCTTTACATAACATATTGTGGATGTGTGTACCTGTCTTCATTGTTTATCATTCTCTTTCCATTGGAAACAAGTCACTCCCACCCACTCCTTTCTCTACACACACACACACACACACACACACACACACACACACACACTCTGAAAAGCCTGGACCAGTTCATTGGTGAGAAGTCACCTGAGTCTGGTGCTCCAAGACCGTGACTTCCAGAATGTAGGTATTCTAGGTGCCTTCTGTGTCATCAGAGAAAACACAAATCATGTGTGTTTAATCTAATATTAAATAGGTTGTAGTTTGGGATTTTAAAAATTAGCAGCCTATACTTGTTATAAATACTGACTAATGTGCAGACATTTCTTAATGAGAACCCTCTGGTTTCCTGTCTAATTAAACTCTTGATTTCCCCGGGGTCTGCCATCCTAAGAGGAACTTCACAGTCATTTAAAACCCAGCATTTGTGTATAACAGCTGTGTTCTAACAGAAGACTTTCAAACACCTTGGTGTATAAGACTGGAGTGCATGTCATCTTTTTTTTAGGCTCTAGATCTCAGTGGCTTATTGGCAGTTATTGGGAAAACCCTTAGCAATAGATTTTGTTACCACTAAGTGAATTTCCATTAAGACGGCTGGGGCAGATGGTTCTCGGTGCTCCATTCAGGTTGTTCTTATGCTTCCCTTTTGGATAAATTGATTGCTGGGTAATTTCTGTGTGACAGGAGTATATCAGGCGACAGCTAGAAGAGGAGCAGCGGCACTTGGAAACCCTTCAGCAGCAGCTGCTGCAGGAGCAGGCCATGTTACTGGTAACGCCCCGTATCTGTCTTGTTCTGTGGTGCCAGGGCTCGTGTGTCTACCCCTCCCCTGATCTGGACATAGCCGTGGTCATCACCACACCATTTTGGTTAGTGCTGTGGGCTGATAGGCTCAAGTGGAGACGTCCTCTGTGGTCCTACTGCTTGGGGCACATTTCCAGGTGGCTTTTACTTATTTACTCATTTCCTGTTCATAACTGAACTGTTCTCGTTTGGTGATAGACAAGGTTTTGAACAGAAGTTGGCATTCAGTGAACAAACTAGAATGCTAAGGGCTGAAGGTTCAAAGCACTTGCCATAGGATTTTTACATAGTTTCAGCACCTTTCGAAACCACCGAAACCAGTGACATTTAATTCAGTTCTCTCTTACTCTGTCCAGTGATATAATGGCTAGCAACAAGCTGTCAGATTTTTCCGCAGGTAATATGCTATTTAAAATCCCAGCCATTTTGCTTTGTTATAAAACAAGGGGGAGGGGGAGAAAAAAGCATGGTCTTTAAAAATAAAGTTGAGAAAGAGTGAATCTGGAGAAGAGGCGAGCCCTGCAGTGTCCCATAGATTCAGTGTTCTCCTCTCCCTCCCCAAGGAGTGCCGATGGCGGGAGATGGAGGAACACCGGCAGGCAGAGAGGCTCCAGAGGCAGTTGCAACAAGAACAAGCATATCTCCTGTCTCTACAGCATGACCACAGGAGGCCGCACCCACAGCACGCGCAGCTCCAGCAGCACCCGGAACGGAGCAAGCCCAGCTTCCACGCCCCAGACCCTAAGCCCCACCACGAGCCCGCCGACCGAGCTCGAGAGGTACCTGCTTCCTGTGCTGCCCAGACACGAGTGTGTGACGCCCCGCCTCTTAAGGACTGTATGATGCTAGTGCTAGCAGGGGGCGCACACGTCGCTGGTGACCCACCCTCCAGGTTTTCTAGCTGAGAAGTTAGTTTCAGGGAAATGAGGGACCCGCCCAGCGTCTCTTATCTAGTGAAGTGTTTTTTCCCTGGACGACCAGAATGCCTCCGTTAACAAATCTCAGGTGAACTGAACACTCAGCCAAACAGAAAGAGGGATGAATGAATGGCAGAATTGATCTTTAAAACGTAAACAAGGGGCCTGGTGGCCTGGCTAACTACTTTTCCAAAACTGCCATGAGGGTGAAGTGCGCCGATGGCCCAATTTACTGACTTTTTGGTGGTCGTGATTTGTTACAGAACTAGTGCCTCTGGGCCCCCCAGAGCCTCCTAGTAAGGAGGTGGCAAAGCAGTCCCTGTGCAGGGGTCCTAGGAAGATGGGGAGCTGGTCGGCCTCCAGAGGACTTTGAGTCCTGGCCAGTAGGTGGCGCCCTGCCACCGTGTCTGGCTCCGGGAGAGTAGATTCTGGGAGCAAATGTCCTGCTTGTTGTGGAATGCCTTTGGTTTTGGTGGAAGGAAATGTGTGTGGGATTCCTGATGATAATTCTTTAATGTGTTGGTTTAGTTGGTTGTGACAGGTTTAACTTTTTTTTCTAGTTTATCATCATGTACAACTCTAGAATTCTTGCTAGGAGGAAATTTTAAACGGTGCCTCTCTTGATTTTTATCTTAAGTATTTCTTTATCCTGCATCAAACCCTAGTCCTGGGTTACTTGCACCTCCCCCACCTCCCATCCCCCTTTAAGCTCCCCCTCTCTTTTCTTGTAGTTGAAGAATACAAAATTTCTCTTTAGAGCCCGTCCACTGCCAGGCTTTCTTGGGTATCTGCTTTTCCCTCACTAACACTGAGCTATGTCTTCTAATTCTCTGATGCAGGTGGAAGATAGATTTAGGAAAACTAACCACAGCTCCCCTGAAGCCCAGTCTAAGCAGACAGGCAGAGTATTGGAGCCACCAGTGCCTTCCAGATCAGAGTCTTTTTCCAATGGCAACTCCGAGTCTGTGCATCCTGCCCTGCAGAGACCAGCCGAGCCACAGGTAGCTGTGGGTGGAGGAGACGCACGTGATAGCCCCCGAGCCACTGACCTGCTTGTCCTGTCCCCATTTCCATGTGTCACCACATGTAGAGAGAGAAGAGGCCAGCAGGACGGAGTGTAGACTAACTTATGGAGCCTCACTGATAGGGGAGAGAAGGGTTTTTCCCTAAAGACTTTTGTGGTACTTACTAAGACTATCTAGATTCAGTGATTTCTTCTTTTACTCTAAGTTTTTGCCTTCCCTTAGTGAGGTGTTCATAGCTAAGTGCCTCCTTATTCTAAGACAAAGATTTTTCAGTTTAGTTTTAGAAAGTTAGCATCGTAAGTACATAGAGAGAGAACCAGAACAGTTTTCTTAACTTGGGACCCTCGGCTCCTGGCCATTTGCGGAGTGGGTTTTCGAAAGCCAACGACTGCCCTGAAATTCCATGTAGAAGTTTTTGGGTTTGTCCAAGTATGCATATTTTTCTAGGAAAAGGGCCTTTAAAAAGATTCTTAAAAGGTTATGAGCCAGTGGGTTAGCAGCGGCTTTCTCTGCAGTAGGTCAGGGTGAAGGTCAAGAGCTCTCATTGGCTGGCCACAGCCTCTGCCCTGCCCTGTCCTGGTGACGCAGAGCCTCTGGGCTGAGAGCTGTGTGGTTATGAGACCCTCTCTGCCGTCCGGAGAAGAAAGCCGTCTACAGAGGTGACCCATTCCAGAGATCTCAGAGATCCTTAAAACACCAACTCCCACTCTCTCGATGAAAATGAACAGACATTTGCTCCTCTCAGCTGTGTCATCCAGAACACTGACACGTTCTTAGGCCTGAGCTTGCAGGGACTGGGGGACAAAAGTTCATACTCTTGTGATAGCAGTAGCTGTGGTGTTCCTAAAAACAGATTCAAAGGAGGATTGGAACGTGCTTTACAGTAGATAATCTCAGTATGAAGTAGTTTTTAAAAAAAGAACAAGGGATGGAGGAAAAGGTGTATGGGGGCGGGGTGGGGGGCGGGGCGCGTCGGGAGTTGGGAGGTGTTTTGGTTCACAGGAGAGCTGACCACAAGCCAGTTGGCAGCTCCAGAGAGTGATGGTTGGAAAGGAGAAGGAAACAGACGAGAGCAGGAGACGGGGAAAAGGGAAGGAAGGAGGGACTAGCAGAATTGGTTTAATGACACTCTCACCAAGAATCCAAGATTAAACTTGTTATTCTGAAAGTAAAACTTAACCCTAAATAGAAAATTTTTTATCTATTTGGCTACTAACAGTTTAGAAAATAGGAGTTCCTGAGTTATGTAGACCACTTTTTATATATATTAGTGATTAGTTAATACTGTGCATGGAAACAGCCACCCTTTCCTCCTTCTATGTGAATGAAATTGCTTTGGGCCGAAACACACACCTATGAAAACATTCTTTGGGGGAAACATTTTATCAGGTAGGACTCTATTTTAAAACCCATTTTAAAAAAATTATAGATACTATTTTCTGTTCCACGCTTTTCCCCCAGAAAATTTTAAACATTTTAGGCATCTGGGATTACACCAGTCAATAACTGGAATTATGTGACTCTCACCTAGAAATCACGGAAATCATAAACCTGGAGCTAATTCTGAATCTCGCTTTTTGAAAAGTTGACTCAGTTATGAATCGGTATTTCCAGTTTTCACTAAATGCCTTATGTAATAGATACATAACTAGAATTGTATAAATTGCAATGTTGAACATATATTTTAAAATAAAATTGAAAGAAAGGACAGATTATTTCAGACTGTTTTCCCAATTTAAAAGCAACCAGATAAACTCAGTTGACAAGTAATTGTCAAGTAGAAGGTCAAATTGGGGGCTCATAGTAATGAATATTTCTAAAGAAATCTTTTTTTTCATAACTAGTATGAAGATATATGGAGATCTAGGATTTGAGCATTTTAAGACTTGGGAGAAGAAAAAGGAAAATTGTTGGAGTATTTTAAAAGTTGGCTGTTTTTAAGTTATTCTGTTATAGTCTGTCAAAACATGAGGGGTTTGTGTTTGCTCATTAAATGTGTTGTTTTGCTGTTACTGGGTCTGAAATCCTGCACTACCAGGTAACCCGAGGGCGGATAGATAGGTCTGCATGTATGGCAGTGTATGTCTTGTCGTCTCTCTCCCTCTCTCTACCTCTTACCTGTCCTCCCTACCTCTTACCTGTCCTCCCTACCTCTACCTGCTCTGAAATGGATGTGCATGCAGCACGTTGTCCCTCCTTTCAGGACAGGAAGGCTCTAAGCCTTTTTTTAGATTTTAAATCTTCATGTTGACTGCTATCTGGAATGTTTTTCTGCATATTAAAATGAGTTTTCCTTATAAGTGTACATTTGTTCTTTTCTCCATATTGTGTTCCCCAGACCACTTCGTCACTTAAAAGTATAACTGTTTTGCTGCCTGGCTTACCTAATACTGTAGCACCCCAGTTTGTACTCCCGCAGTTCCTGCTTTGAATTTGGTATTGACCAGAAAAGCGTTTTATGCAGAACGCATTGAATGTTTTGTGTTTTGTTTTCTTGTAAGGTACAGTGGTCCCACCTGGCATCTCTCAAGAACAGTGTTTCCCCTGTCTCGCGATCCCATTCCTTCAGTGACCCTTCTCCTCCCAAATTTGCACATCACCATCTTCGCTCTCAGGACCCATGTCCACCTTCCCGCAGTGAGGTGCTAAGTCAGAGTTCTGACTCTAAGTCGGAGGTACCTGAGCCCACCCAAAAGGCTTGGTCTAGATCAGACAGTGACGAGGTGCCTCCAAGGGTAAGAAGCAGAAAGACAGACGTGTGCTTCTTTTTCCATTTTGTTATTTTTTTAAAATGAATTATTTTAATTAAGGGTATGGTGAGTCCACCAGAATTAAGGGGTGATGAAATTTAAAAGGATTTTTACGGTGGGGATAAAGTTCCATAGTTAGGCAGTTACGCTCAGCCAGCGGCCAGTCAGTTTTTTTAATGTTGTTATTAACATACTTAAACACAAGGTAACATAATAATTTAAGAGTAAGTCCATAAAAACAGAATCAAATATGTATTGGCAGTTGTCTTATAAGTTTACACAGAAGCTACAAATTATTTTGCAACATTAACCAATATCAAAATTTTCAGAAAAAGTCTTATAAAGAAAAAAACACAACATAAAAATGTCAAAGAAAATGATTTTTTTCTTTTTGAATTGAGGGATTTTTGTTTTTGTTTTGAGTTGTTTTTGTTTTGTTTTTATTTTTTTGGTAATCACTTAATGATGAAATGAAATAAAACACATTTTAGTTTATTTTTCCTCCACTCGGAATTGCTTCCTCTGAATATTTCTTTGCTTCCTGCCAGTCTTTGTTTCCTGCTGATCCATTTGCAGACATTGTTTGGTTTCTTTGAGCTTTTTTTCCTGATTCTCACATCATCTCAGCAAAGTGCTTTGTATGTCCCCGCCACCAAACTTCAGCCGAAACATCATACAGGAGTTACAGAAGCGTGGACGCGCTGTGGGCCCTGGCTCTTTGGACCCTTTGACGAGATGTCCTCTTTCTGCTCTATCAGTGAGGGCTGAGAAGGGTCAGGGATGGGGGGGCTGACATATTTGGGACTGCTGTAAAAATATATTTTGGTCGGGAAATCTTTTTTCTCCTCCTATTTTCAAGAATGTAATTGCCGTATTTTCTACCCAAAGGTTCCAGTGAGAACAACGTCTCGTTCCCCTGTTCTGTCCCGTCGGGACTCCCCACTCCAGGGCAGTGGGCCACAGAATAGCCAAGCAGGTCAAAGAAACTCCACCAGGTAAAATGAGAGCGAGGCTGAAGAACAGGTTTCCGGCACCGTCTCCTGCGGTCGTACGTCATCCATTTTCACAAAAATGCCCACACACAGGGACATTCTGGGGCAAAGAGATGATCAGTGTATAAAAGAAAAACTGCCATAAAATCCATTAACATGAATCACATTAAATTGATCTGTAGTGAGAAGAGTCTAAATCCCACTGTGTATACTGGCAGTTTTCAAATTGAAAACTAACTCCTGTTTCTGTAAGCGTAAGGGGGAACAGGCCTAAGAGACTTGAACCCTGAGGGAGCTTACTATCTAAACGATGGCCTAAGGCCTCGGGAGTGGTGTGGGACTTACAAATAGGCTGCTAAAGAAAGCCCATGGTTAACATACAGTCTGCAGGAGGCTAGTGAATTAGCCAAATAATACTTTTAAATGCTAGTGCTGTTGTGTCCTGTACAAGAGCTGTTAGCCTACATGAGGCTACTTAAATTTGAATTTAACTTCATGAATAAATAAAATTAGAACTTAACTTTCTTAGCGGCACTGGCAACATTTCAAGTGCTCTCTGCCACGGGTAGCCAGTGGTTTCCGTATCTCACAGCTATAGGACATTTTCATCATCTCAGTAAGTCCTACTGACCAGTTTTGTTCTAGAGGAAGAAGCAGAGGCCACTAAGTTGACTGTTTTGTGCCTGATCATCACTGATCCTCTAATGTTACCTCTCTGCACCTGGAACCTCAGTGTAACTTGAAGCAGTGTGAGATGGCCGATAGCCCAGAAACTGCAGGGAGCCTCCTTGGTCCTTAACTGGTCAGGGCGGACTTGGGGTCCCCTGTGACTGGGTCTGTGCATCAATCTCATCCAGCAAACTGGCACCCTGGGTGTGTGCCTCGTGGGGACACATCAGACTCCATGCTCTCTCTGTCACATTTCCAGCACAGCTCAGACAAGTACTGAATAAGTGTCAGTTCACGAGAGCAGGGATGGATGGCTGAGAGCGTAGCCTGTGAACAATATAATTTTGTTTGTAATTATATGTAAGTGGAATTTTTCATAGTAAGAAACCGAGTTTGTAGCTGGGACAAGAAATAATGACACTTCTAGACCAAACTTAACATTTTGTCTCACACCTGATGACGATTTGGGGTCTCCTAATGGTAGAATATCATTTAGCATTCTTGGTTTGTTAATAAATCTGAGATAAAAGCCATGAAGAACGTTGTTACAACTTTTGCTGAGCTGAATATTAAGTGCTGTTTGTAGGCTGGTTTTTTTCATCATCCCTACATTTCATGCATGTGTTTATCAGTTGACACTGCATCTTGGCATAATGCATTAGCTGTTCTCTCTTCTTTTCCATAGCAGTATCGAGCCCAGGCTGCTGTGGGAGAGAGTGGAGAAGCTGGTGCCCAGGCCTGGCAGTGGCAGCTCCTCGGGGTCCAGCAACTCCGGATCCCAGCCTGGCTCCCACCCTGGGTCTCAGAGCGGCTCTGGGGAGCGCTTCCGAGTGAGATGTAGGGTGCCTTTCCTTTCTCCTTTCCCTGTTAACCATATCGATCTATGATCAATGTGTTGGAATCCCTTTTCAGTCATGGGAGCAGACCTGTGGTGGCCACATAGCTGAGTATCAGTACAGGCTGTTAATGACACTAATTAATAGTCATCATAATGTTAATAATTAAGAATTAACTTTTGAGAGCTTAACACATGCCCAGCACTGTGAACACTGCATGCATTATCTCATTTGATCCTTATAATAATCCCATGAGATATATTTATTGTGTCCATTTTACATATTACAGTAACTGCAATTTAGTGAGATTACATAACTCCTCCAAGGTAACTAGCTACATGTCTGAGCTGAGATTCGAACCCACTTCTTTCAATAGACTCCATCAATATTGTCATCAATATTGGTTATTTCAACCTACTCATAATAATAGATTATCACAATTCCCTCTCCTGTGCTACTGACATAAGAAGGCATTGTGAATGTTAACTAGAGCGTGGTGATGGAGGGTCTAAATAAGGAGTCAAGCCCTGGGGTCCAGACCTGCATGTGGAGACCCTGCCATGAGGGGGGCTAATAGTAGGCAGGGGGCTAGACAGGCTAGGTCTGCTCTGTAGCACACATCTGGATGCTTACATATATCGCCTTCCTTGTCTCTCTTGAACTTCACAGCATCATCCAAATCTGAAGGCTCTCCATCTCAGCGCCTTGAAAATGCAGCGAAAAAACCTGAAGATAAAAAAGAAGTGTTTAGACCTCTCAAACCTGCTGTAAGAATTGCACAAAATCAGTTTTACTTCTTTGAAGCTTGAGTGAGATCTTTCTATTAAAAATAATGTGGTTGAGAGGCGCAATCCTTTCTGCGGGGCCCCCCCCTCACAGATCTGAAGAGTTATAAGGAAGCCATAAACCTCAGACACATTTGTGCCCCCCACCCCCAAACCATGGTCATCAAAAAAAAAAAAAAAAAGTTAAAGAAAAGCCTTTTTATTGCTTTGCTTAGTATTAACCTTTACATATTCTTGATGAGTTGGGCATTTATAATACTGGCTTTTAGAATAAATTTTTTTACATCGCCTTCTTAAACTCACTTGTTATTTAAATTCTGCCTTTTGGTACCTGGACGGCAGTTGCGACTGTTTCTCATATTTCCCCTTTAATCCTTGTTGCATTAACTGACCACGTAACTGCACACACTGTGGACCTCTCAGCCTGTGGGAATTTTGGTTTCCTGCTTGATTGATTTCTGTGCTTCCCCTCCCTCCCTTTCTCTCTCCTGGGCTGCTTTGTGCTGTGCGTTCTTCATCATTGGTGGCTTATCCGGCTCGATGGAACTGCTGCTGGCCTGCAGGGGGAAGTGGTAAGCCCATCTGGGAAATTCAGCCTCGGAGCAGTGACCTGGCTTTTAAACTGAGCTTGTTTTTGACCTACGTTGCTTTTCCTTCCTCAACTTGCCTTTCTGTTCTTTGCTAGAATGAAAAACCCTAAACTTTTGCTTCATTTTTTTTTAACACAGAATTTGCTGCATGCATTTTTTAAAATTATTAAATAGAGCTTTTAAAAACAACACCTTAAAAAGCTACAGCTGTACACATGAGATGGTTAGCAAGACTCAAGGTCCAACGCTTGACCACTGCTATTTCAGAGGCTCAGGCTCAAAGAAAGGGAAATGAGGCCCTTTTTGAATAATATCTTTTACTATGGATTTCTTTTCTCTCTGATGTTCATATTTATTGGCACTGTTACGGGGACGTGGGGACCAGGGAGCCTGCCCCATTTACTGCTCGGGGCAGCACATGCTGCTACCACCCTGTCATTTCACGTGTCATGAACTGTTTTTATGAATGTGGCAAGTTGTTAATGATTGAAGCAAGATATGAATGATATACAGGTGCTCACCTCACTCTTTCACTTTTAGGTAGGTTTGAAATTGTTAAAAATAAAAGTTGGAGTTAAAAATAAAAACTTCACCAAAGACGTACTTTAAATCAGTCCTATTTAGCTAGAATCTTGCTTTATGGATAATCTCCTTAGAAGATTTTGTCACATAGGCAATTAACTTTATAATAAACTCCAAGGACCTGTCTACACACATTTGTTGATCCAGAATTTTATCCTATAGTTGAGAAAAAAACCTCTCAGCTTATCACAAGCAGATTATTATGTTTTTTGTTGTGAGGTTTGAACTGTGTATACCATCTTTGTCTTTTCTATATTTTTGTCTATCTTTTGACTTTCTTGGGTCTTTTCTACCAAAAGCTGTAAGAACTCACCTTCGCATAACACTAGTAAATACTCTACAAAACTGTTTAACGAACCTGCTGTCGTGGCTATATTATCCCTAGTCAGAACAAAGCACTTCTCATTCTTGCTGGTTTCTCCCACGCCCCTGGCCCCCTTGTCTCACTCTCTTTTCTCTCCTGTGTGCTAGGATTTGACGGCACTGGCAAAAGAGCTCCGGGCAGTGGAAGATGTGCGACCGCCACACAAGGTCACTGACTACTCCTCGTCCAGTGAGGAGTCGGGGACCACAGATGAAGAAGACGATGACGCAGAGCAAGAGGGGCCCGAGGAGCCCACGTCTGGACCAGAGGACACCAGAGCAGCGTCAGTCCTTGGTGTCTCTTAGAGGATGGGTGTCCCCACTGAGCTGTCTTTGCATTGGGAGCCAGTTTTTCCTAAATCTGTCATGAGAGTCTGTGAACATGTAACATGCAGGTGTCACGGGTTCAGAGGCAGGCAGCCTTCTGCTCTTGTGTGCGCATGTGCATGTCAGGGCCGCTCCCCAGCACCCCCGCCTGAATTTCATTTTTTCTTTTTAGTTTGAGGACATGGTAAATGGGAAATTCCATTTCAGCTTAATTATCCATAAGCGTTCATTCTCAAACACATACTATCGGCAGGAAGATCTTTGTTGAAGGAGAAACACTAAGCATTTGTTTTCCTTGAGAAAACTTTCTTCCTGGAGAGCTGAGCACACCTCAGGACTCTGAGAGGGTGGAAATCTAAACAGAATGTCCTCAACTCACGGTTCTTCTGAGCCTTCACTTCTGGTTTTTGTCGCAATAGGTCATCTCTGAACTTGAGCAATGGCGAGACAGAGTCCGTGAAAACCATGATTGTCCATGACGATGTAGAAAGTGAACCGGCCATGACCCCGTCTAAGGAGGGCACTCTGATCGTCCGCCAGGTACCTGTGTCTTTGCTCCGTTGTTGGAGGCTGAGCTTCTATAGTCATTAACCCACTTGCTCATTCACTCACTCATGCTGTTTCTACATCATCGTCTGTTTTCATGTTTGACAAGCCCCAGCGGGTAGAGCGGGCTAGGGCGGCAGGTGTGTGCTGCATGCGACAAGGTGGCCAGCCGTCTTCACCCCACATCGCTGCTCCTCTGCATGTCTTGCGACGGCCCTCATTCAAGCAGCACGCTGAGTCTCAGTCTGTGTCTGATAGAGAAGCGCAGGGTCCTGGGTAGGCTTGTGGTGGAAGACGGGGCCGGCCTAGAGGCCTCGCACCCCTGCAGAGAGCACCCTGCTCTGAGCCCGGCAGTCACAGGGCGGGCCGCGGGCAGCAGCAGGGCCGGGAGGTCTCTGGTGTGTTCCCAAATGTTAGTCTGCTCACTTGTTGGCTATCAAATGTGTACCACCTGGTTGTGCTCAGTTTGGATGACGACGTTTTACAACTGTCTGTTCATGTCTCAGCTTAGCTGTGAGGAAAGCGACCTGCTTCTCATTTTAAATAGAACAGGGCACTGATTTAGCATTTTGGACTTGCCCCTGAGTGTGTCCCGTGCTATGGGATGTGGGAAGAACATGGATGAGACCAGGATTCAAAGAAGTGACAGGGTACTTTCTAGAGCTTCAGACAGAAAGATGTAAAAAGAAAGGAAAAAAAACTCCTGGTGGTTTTGGTAACAGCGGCCAATGTGGCAGGAGAACCTGGGGCTTGGGCCCTGTGGCCACCAGATGAGGTGTCTGAGCCCCGTGGCTGCACTGTGGCCTTCAGCAGGGCAGTGGCCGCGGTGCTGGCTAACGTCCTCCCGCCTCTCCCTGCTGATGTAACAGCCTGGAAAGTCACACGGCAGCACCTAAGCAGAGTCAGTTATCAGTAGGTCGTAGCCCTTTCAGCAGCGCTTGAGCGAGACCAGTGTGCCTGTTTTCTCTACAGAGTACAGTTGACCAAAAGCGTGCCAGCCATCATGAGAGCAATGGCTTTGCGGGTCGCATTCACCTCTTGCCAGATCTCTTACAGCAAAGCCATTCCTCCTCCACCTCTTCCACCTCCTCCTCCCCATCTTCCAGCCAGCCGACTCCCACCATGTCCCCACAGACACCCCAGGACAAGCTCACTACTAATGAGGTATGTCTCGCACCACAGCTGGCTGATCTCCTAGGGTTAGACCACTGCCTAGTCGCTAGTTCGCAGAGGAGCCCTTCCCCACGCCCGCCCGCCCTCCCCACCTGCTTTCTTCTGTCACCCGCCCTCCCCCAGCCCCCACGTAACATGTCCCAGATCTGCATATACAAACCCCTTAACCTAGATCGATTGCCCTCCGGACTTGCCGGCTCACGGTGTCTTCTCCTCTAGATGAGTGTAGCTGCATGGCTTTCTGTATTCAGTTTATTTTTTTTAAGTCTGAATGAAATGATTGCTGTATTCTCAGATCTGTTATGTATTTGCCATGAAACTCTCGTAGTCTTTTGTGGAATCTGCCTTTTGCGTTCTTTTTATCCAGTAAATAAAATACAGAAAACTTTGGTTAAGCAGAATTGGCCTGATCCAGACAAACTCGTTGTCCTGAACAGGAATTTCCTTCCAACAGGGCTGGATTGTCTTTTGGTTTTGTTTTGTTTTGTTTTGTTTGGGTGGGCGAGGCTGGTGAGGGCTTGTGGGTTGGTTACTCCTAATTGGTTTCTACCAACCCTGTTAAAAGGATTTCTTTCCTTGACATTTACAATCACTTGGAGTTTAAGAGGAGGCCAAATGCTTTTTGGGGAAACCTAGAAAGTTAGGACATTCAGCAAGAAGGGCAAAGGTCTGAGTGAGCTTTTATTTAAAATGTGAGTGGGAAATCCTGTGTGCTCCTTCAAAGGCTTGGCTGTGGTGCTCCGCCTGGGTGCCAGTCAGCTGAGTCCCTGCTGTGGAACAGGGTCCCCCCCTGCAGGGGCAGTGCACCTTGACCACCCTGTGCTGAGTGACCCAGTGATTCGGTTTCCTGGGAGGTTTGGTTTCTGTGCATTGGTCTCACAGTTGAAGGAGGCTGAAGGTGGCGTGTGGCTTCAGCCAGTCGCGCTGATGTAAACGTCTAACGGCCGGCCTGCCTACCTGCTCCTACTTCGGTGTCCTTGTTAGAAAGGATCAGACGCTTCTCACTTCTGAGGAGTGGGGGCAAGTCAGCTGCTTCCAAGGCAGGCTCAGGGTGGCCGTGGGCGGACTGGCCCCTTATCATGGGACAGGCAGGAAGCCCGCTAGTGGGAACCTTGGAGGGTGTGGGCTCTAGGAAATGGTGACTTCAGCTGCCCCTAGGGGGAGAAATGGTACAGGACCAAAGGACTTGAGCAGACACGTTCTGTTTTCTCCAGGGATGAACCCCACCTGCACTCACGTTCCTCCTGACATTTATATTTAAACTTTGCTCCATTTTGCTCTAATGTACAGAATTGACTATAACCCTTAACGCACTAAACTGGCAACTTTACTTTTCTGTTTGTTTTGTTTTTAATTGTCATTACATTTCCACTTAACAATTTGTTTCACTTTCTTTGTGTTTTTTTTTGTTTTAAGTTACATTATTAACCAAAACACTAGTGCTCATAAAAGAGCGAAAGGATATGCCTTATTTTGTCATTTGCACCTTTCACTAATGAGCCCTTTGTTTGATATGGGTTTAATGATGATGCACCTGAAACGACAGTAGCGAAAGCTTCTGTAGCTTTCTGGCAAGAGGCTCACTTTAAAATAAATAATATAAAATTAAGATTCGCTGATATTCCAACATAGATTAGTTGGACTTCGGGGGACAGGAGAGTCCATTCAGAAATTGATGAATGGAGATCAAGACATTTCAGACCTCCTTTAGGAGTTTTTCATTATAACTATTTACTAAGAGTATGGTGTGTAGATCTTACTGTAGTGTGCGGCTTCCCTGTCTTGGGGAGTACTGTTCCCTAAGAGACATAGCTCTCCCCGTGGGCCCAGGTCAAACAGCCTGCTGGGGGGGTGTGGCGCCCCTGCGAGCTCTGGAGGCTCATGCAGGAGCAATGGGGCTTTCAAGGGGAACCAGTACAGCATAGAAGTGGGTTGAAATGTTTTAATGTTCATCTTCTTAATGTCATTTGTATTAATAACGTTGAAATTTACATTGCAGACTCAGTCCGCTAGTAGCACACTCCAGAAACACAAATCTTCCTCCTCCTTTACACCTTTTATAGACCCCAGATTACTACAGATTTCTCCATCTAGTGGGACAACAGTGACTTCTGTGGGTAAGTAACGTAACAAGAAGGTGGCTGACGAACGGAACTCGTTCACTTTGCGTCGCTCTTTCTGGTGGCGTAGGCATGTGGGGCGGTGGTGTCTCAGGGGCAGACTTCGGATACACACACACACGCCCTAATTGTGTTGCCTTATTTGCAGTGAGCTGCATAGTCCATTTTCTTTTTCCATATACATTTCCTACTAATTTCTTTTCCTTGACAAAGACTCAGTTATGCCGTAAGAATATTTCCTAGAGGTATAATGGGGTGGGGGGAGGCAGGCGCGGTGTTTGTGTGTACAGAAAATAATTTCCAGTGTACTGTGTTTTAGTGGGATTTTCTTGTGATGGAATGAGACCGGAAGCCATAAGGCAAGATCCTACCCGGAAGGGCTCAGTGGTCAATGTGAATCCCACCAACACTAGGCCACAGAGTGACACCCCAGAGATCCGTAAATACAAGAAGAGATTTAACTCTGAGATTCTGTGTGCTGCTTTATGGGGTAGGTATCATACTGCTGCTCTGGCCCTTTTATTTTTATCCTGAACAGGGGACTGGTCTTTTAGAGAAGAACTGTTTGGGATAGTTTGGGGATGTTTTAAAGAGCTGGTGACGGATAAGATGGCAGACACCTATGACGCCATCCCTGTGCCTTCTGTAGAATCCTGGCAGGTATGTGTGCATGCTGGCACTTGGGTCAGCCATCAGGTGTTGGAAAGAAGAAAAGTAAAACAATGAGAAAGACATTCGATTTGGTCCATATTGGTAGGGAGAATGAAGAAATTTGTTGAATTGCTTTTCCTTAAATATTCCTGTTGGATGTTTTTTCTTTGCTCTTTGTGACTTGGGCCTCACATCTAAATGAGGCGTTTTGAAGCTGTCTGCCACTGGCCAGGTCTGCAGAAGGGGCCTGTTGAGCTGACTTTGCTGTTGAATCCCTGCAGTGTTTGTGAAGCGTCTTGAAAACCTATAACACCATCAGAGGGTGTTTGTGGAGCCTGCCACGCACAGGACCCTGCTGTCTCACTTTCTGGAACTTGCTTTTCTGTCACCCCAGGTCCATCACCTTCCTCACTCCCACCAACGTCCTGTTCTTGGCCTTCCCTTGTCTTCCAGTCCCACGCTTTGTTTTTGTTCCCCTCCTCCCTGAACCCCCAAATCAGCAGTTTTTAACAGGGATCCTGCTCTACCATTCAGAAGTTTCTTAGTCCTAGACGCAAGTATGAATGGATAGAAGACATGCCATCCATTCACTGAGCCCACAGCCCACCCTTCTCAGGACGCGTGTGCCTTCCCCACAGGGACTGAGCCAGCGCTGCCCCCAACCCACCGCACTCTGCCTGAAATGATGGAGGCTGACGTGAACCTCAAGAGGGCCCTCGCCCCATTGTGGAAGAAGGGCCATGCACTTGATGAGCCTCCCCGCTCGGCTGCCTCTGGGCTTTATCTGGCTGCTGACCCCCTCTGGCCCCCTCAGAAGCTCCTGCAGAGCCTGGCTCCCAAGGGCTTGGAAGAGCTGCTCCAGCCGTTGCAGACATACCTACTTTCTCTTTCGTTCCTCCAGCTCTGGGTTTCTGTCCTTGTCTCTAACGAGTATTTTAAATCCCCTATGATCATAAGGCCCTTCCTTTATTTAAACGCCTAGATAAAGGTAACCGTTGCCATTTGGGGGATGGTCGGGATCACGTGAAAGCAGCCGTCATAGCATTGACACTGCGCGCTGCTGCTCACCGAATGTCAGCTGAGATTGGTCAGAGGGCTGAGTCGCATATTGAAGGCCTGTCATGAGGGCCTTTAGGTCATTAAAAATTATTGTATTCTACTCTGTGTGGATGTAGTTTAAAACGTTAATCCTTTAGAAGTTGAAGTAATTTTTATCCAAAATGTTTGTACTGGTAGCCGCCTTACCCTTCATATTCCTCTAATGTCCTATGAAGTGCTGGGTCCCATTCTGTGTCATTAACTGCTAGTTTTAAGTAAAATTCTTCTTTTTTCTAATTTTCTTTAATACCTCTGAGAAAAATAGGAAGGCACCTCGAACTTGGGTTTTTAAAAACACAGTGGTACTTACTGTTATTCACCATTAAAAGAAGAGATTGGAAGGTGACTTAAAGTTGAAACATGTTTTTTTCTGCAAATGAGTGTATTTGAGTTGCTTGTTGGCTGCGGGCACATCTATGGTGCCTTTCCTTAACCTGCTTGCAATAGCTGCCTTGAGTGACCTGTTAAGTTATAAATAAGCCTCTTCCAGACTTAGACCCAGAGAAGTCAGACCTGTACTGTGAGAGCTGTAGCCTGAGGGGGAGAAAATTTAGAGGACTCGGAAGTTTGTTTTGAAGTAAAATCAATGCATTTATGTTCTGCTGAGCAGTGTTAGATACATTAGTTTCTAGTGTACCTTCCTGGAAAATGCAGTGAGCATTCTTAATCATCTTATATACAGACTTTTGATTTGTAAATTGCTGCGTATTTACTACATTTTTTTTAATAAGGCAATTTCCCCCGGTTTGCAGCCAGGATTATTTTAACACATTTTTTAACATGATTGTTTCCAGTCTTATATTCATAATGAATCGTCTGCAGTTAACTGCAGTGCTTTGCCTATAATATCATAATTTATAGACTTTAAAGGAAATTTTAAGTCACGTTATACAGCTCTTAGCCATTTTTCCCATCGACTGACACCAAATTCCTTTGAGTATAGTTGCAGTTCCTAGTACAGCTTACCTTTGAACAATTAGCATTGTAAAGCTTAATTATATAAGTGTATTTATAAAAAGTTAATTGCAGCGTGCAACTTAATTTTTTCTATAGGCCCATCATTTCCAAGGTTGTTATTTTCCAGTGACTGTCTATATTACTTCAACTGCTAGCACTCAGTGCTTTCCACAGTTCTTAGAACTATATAATAGAGAATTAGAATTAGGGTGTAAGTGCCAAAATATCTGCAATTTTGGGGTATATGAAAAGATATTTTCAGCTTTATCTTTTATTCCTTTATTCTTTCTTACTGTGAAATCTTGATTGATATTTGAGTGCTATTTATTTCTGGAAACCACAAATAATAAAAAGATTTCACACAGGTCATGTTTGGGGTAATTATTACCAAATTTTTGATATGCATTTTTTTAGCTACTTGATACTGACGATTAACCAGGAAACTACTGAAATAGTATATGAAATGAAACCTTTGGAACAGACTGTTTGTCTGGTGGCAGCTCTGTGAGTTAATGTTTTGTTTTATCTGCTGCAAATGACTTTAAAGCTGTTTAGAATTGCCTCACTTAGGTATGTGAAGGAAAACCACTAAGAGTAGTGTCCAGATACACTCTCCACTGATAGGTAGTCATTGCAAAATGGCCAACCTCAAAAGTAAAATTTTAGGAAAATGGGTAGAGCATTGCATCAGCATTCATTTCTCTCCTGATAATAAATCTTTTTAAATTGGACAGCAGTTTTTTTCTTAAAGTCATTATCTCATGTGTGTGATATTTCTATTAAAGAACTTTTTTCATAAAAGCATAATGGCTTGTTGTAAGCCTTATAAAGTGGAGTACCACGAGCTCTAATCCAAAGCTGTGATGTGACCTAATTAATAAGACTTCAGTATCACCCATAGCAGCACTGGCTATTATGGCAGCTACTAGCCTCACATGGCTATTTAAAGTTAAATGCATTCAAACAGGAAATTCAGTTCCTCAGTTGCACGAGCCACGTTTTAAGTGCTCAGTAGCCACGTGTGATCACTATCTGACATCAGATATCACAGTAGAAAGTTCTGTTGGACAGAACTGGTCCAGACGATACATTTTAAACTCATAATTATAGAAGACAGAAGAAGCCGTATGCATTTATAAGCCTTTTTCCTTACGTGGTACATATATGTTGAGGGCTTTGTTTAATTTTAAGGATTACTCTAGAGGAGTAGTGAATACTCAGGTTTTTCCCTTTCCTCCCAAATTCCAGAGGCTTCTCTCAAATTTTCTGAAGATGTTTCAAAGTATGTCAGGCTCTAACAAACATTCTCATTAAAATACTGGACTGGACAGAAGGCACCAGTGATTTGGCGGAGGTGTACGTGGGCTGGGTGCTCTTGTAAAACGTAGTTTCCACAAGGGCAGAACGGAACCTGCATTGCATGCCTACTAGATTGTTAATGGGGGACTTTATTAGGCCACACTGTTATCAGAAACTGGATGTCTGTCTCTAGGTTGTGGCTTGTATCCTCTGAGGTTCCAGGGATGAGGTCGTGCTAGTTCAGAGCTGACAGGCTGCGTCATTACTTGTAGCTGTCGTCCGTGTGTGCCTGCCCCTCTCTATGTAAGCTGCTAAAGTTCTAACTTGAGTTTGAAGAGCAGTGGAAGTAGGGGCATGTGTGGATTCCAAGGTTCCCTGCTTTTAAATATTAATTGAGCGGTTACTTTATAAAAGCACAGATAACTTCATTCCTCATCTCAGTGAGTTTATTACCTGGTTTAGGGAATGCAAGCATTCCCTAATGTGCTTCCTCCCCTAGAATATACGGTGATCTCTGCTGCGTGTTACCAAGTTGGTTTAGACCAAGGAAGCAAGTACATTTGGGGAAATAAACGAATAATACAGAGGGAAAAGTAAGTTGGCTCAAAGGGCACAGAGTTTGGAATGTCTCGTGGACCCTCTCCTGTAGAGAGAGTGTAGGTTTGAAGATACAGGATGACTCAGCAAGTACTGTGGGAAGAGGAGGGCTGTTTTCCATGTGCAGCCATGAGAAAGTAGAGGGGGGGTGTTGTAACAACCTCAGTTAAGGTGTCCATCAATTATAAAGTGGCCTGAAGTCTGGTGAGAGCACAGGACGGGGAGAGGAAGGTGTTGGTGGTCAGTGTGGCCAGTGTTATGGAGCAGTTGTGGGAGAGGGCGGTGCTGTTGGTAGAAATGGCAAAGGCCCAGGAGCTGTTGGGGCGGGTGGTACAGTGGTAGGGTGGGGTGCGGATGGAGGCGCGCATGGTCCCGAGGTGCTGCTCCAGCACACACAGCAGAGGAGATATCAGTATTTAAGAAGCAGAGACGGTGCATGGAAACAAACAAGGAGGAAAGAGACTGGAACAGCTGGGGACAGTGGGAAGACACTTGGCACAGAGAAAGCCAGGACGGGTCCCACAGGAGGTCACAGTATTTTAATATTCTTAAACTGAGGGACAGAGGACTGAGTGCAGTTGTTTCTTTCTTGGCAGTGATGGAGATTGGTCTTTAAAGAAACCTTACACTGGGTGATGGAAGCCAGATCAACCATAAACTGTTAGGGACTTAGGGCTCTGTAGAGCCATTCCAGAAGTTTGTCAGTGACAATAATGACAGATACAGGAAGCACAGGGTGATCAAGAAATCATGTCAGACAAAAGTTTGTTCAGGTGTCTGATGTGGCAAATGAGAAGCAGTGTCTGTGACACTAGTGGGATGGTGAGTGCAGAACATTCTAAGGGAACTGGGGGAGCCCCGAAGTGGGTGGACTGTGAAGGAAGTAGGCAACGCTTGCTCGCTCCCCCCCACATCCTTTTTCATGTTTAGGTAAATAGTTCACCGTCACTCCTTGATGGCGAAGTGTTGCAGTTCTGTCACTTTAACCTGTGAGTGTTCTGATCATTTCTTTTTGTGGATGAGTTCAGGAGCACTTTTTGCCGGGTGGGTCGTGGTATCTTATCCTTCCCACACAAGCAGGCTGTCTGCCGAGCGCAGTACAAATCAGGCCTTTCCGTCTTCTCGCCACAGGAGTGAATTTGTTAGTGGGAACAGAGAGTGGCCTGATGCTGCTGGACAGAAGTGGCCAAGGGAAGGTGTATCCTCTTATCAACCGAAGACGGTTTCAACAAATGGATGTCCTCGAAGGCTTGAATGTCTTGGTGACAATATCTGGTAAGTGTTTGTCGCGTAAAGCTGGATGGCTGCACTCAACAATTAGCTCACTTTCTGAAGTAATGGCTAAATGAGCCTGATTTTATAATAAGATGACAGTAGAATGTACTCCGATGGGACCTACACATGCGCTTAACCTCTCTGTCCTCTAAAGAGCAGGAAAAACACAGGGACAAGCACTCACTAACTGACATCTCCCTTGCCACCCACACTCTCCGCCCTCTGCTGCATGCTGGGTTTGTGTTCACTTCCTCCACTGGACTCTTTCATGCAAAGGAACTGTTCTTTGCCATGCTGGTAAAAGTACTGTACTGTATTAGATTTTTTTCTTATGCCAGTGACCACTAGAAGTTTATTTCCAGAAAGAGCGTTTTTCTTAGTAAAAATTATGTAATATGTGTTCACTGCAGAAAGTAAGAAACTATAGCAGAAAAGCAAGTAGGTAGGAGAAATAAAAAGGAAAACCATCTAGAGACGACATGTATTAACTTTTCGGGTTCTAGCTGTCAATCTTTTAAGCATACTCATGTTCAGATACACACTTAAGGGAAAAAAATCTGCATGAAAATGGTTATTCAGTATTCCAAACATCCAGAGAATAATAATTAGAGAATAATATTCACCTGTGTGCTAGGTTTTATAGATGCTGAACACAGTGTTGTACATACGCTTAGCACCCCCTCTTCTGACCACCAGCCCGTGGGAACCACTGTCCCAAAGTTAGGGTGGTGTATCCTGTCCATTCTTGATGGTCCAAACCATGTAGCCTGCTCTTCCTATGTCACTAAACATTCCTCCATGATATCCATTTTACATGGCTACAGAATGTTTCTTTGCATAGATATCCTAAAATTAATTTATTCATTTTCTGTTGTAAGTCTTTCAGTTTACCCCGTACACATGCGTGTTTCATGGACCGTAATTTCCTAATAATTTGTATGATTTCTAGGATCTAAGGGTATGCAAAATTATAAGACTTTAAATGGCCTTATAATAACCAGCAGCCATTTTGATTCAGTTATCTGCTAACTCACTCTTGTTATATTTGTTTACACGTAGCAAATTTCTTGCAGTTATTTATTTTACTTTTGAAATAGACTTTTGGTTGTAAGTATGATGTTTATTGAAATGCAAAAATTTCACCATCACAATTAAATGAGAAAACAACCATTTAAAACTTGAGTGTTGGTGGCCAGTGGGTTTTAAAATAGGAGAAAAAAATAAATCTGCAGCTAAAAATGATTTAAACTTTATTTTGTGATCCAGTGAACAAGATGATTCATGGGGATCAATACTCAACTGATACCAGTGATAATTTTTTGGTCTAATTATTTCCTTTTCTTGTCTTATTGCAGTAGCGAGGACATTCAGTATGACGTTAATAGGAGTAGTGAGGGGACATCCTTGTTTTCAGATCTTAGGGGAAAATTATCTAGTTTCTCACCATCAGTGTGATGTTAGCTATAAGTTTTTTGTAGATTTTTTTTTTTAAATCAAATTGAGGCAGTTCGCCTCTGTTACTATTTGCTGACAGTTTTTATCATAAAATGGGTGTTGAGTTTTGTCAAATGCTTTTTCTCCATCTATTCATATGATCATAGGATTTTTCTTCTGTAGTTTTTAATGTGAGTGCCTGGCTTCTTTTCTCAGCATCAGTTTTTCTGGTTGTTTATAGCTGTAGTTCGTTTCTCCTTACTTCTGTATATGGCCACACCTCAGTTTATTCACTCACTCGACTATTGACAGACATTTGTGTTGTTTCCTTTTTGGGGCTGTTAGGAACAATGGTGCTGTGAATGTTTCTATTCATGAATTTGGGGCTCATGCACACACATTTATATTAGGAAAGAAATTCACTGGATTATAGTGGGGTATATGTACATCCTGCTTTAATAGTTAACACCAAGCTTCTCAAAGGGTTTCTAGCAGTTGACATCACTTGTTTCTGAAGTTTCTAGTTACTCCATACCTTTCCTACTTTCAGTATTAGCACTCTTTTAAATTCTAGACACTAAGCGATGTATGAAATCATATCTCATGGGTTTAATATGTGTTCATTCTGGACTGTGAGAACAAGTGCCTTTTAGTGTTCCTATGAGAGAACTTCTTTGGCCTTTTCTAGTTGCTTGCCAGTTTTTCTATTGGGCTATCTCTCTTTTAACTGATTTTATGAGTTATTTATGTATTCTGGATGGGATTCCTTTGTCAGCTCTGTAAGTTGCACACAGCTCCAGTTTATGGCTGCCCTTTGCTTGATTCAAGTCCTGCGTTTGATGACTTCTTTAACCCTCTGTGCTATTGAATGGGGACTAATAGCCACGCTGGAGGGCTTTGAGCATTAGATGTGAAAGCATCTTAGTAGTTCTTTCGGTTGAATGGTCGTGCAGGTGTCTGTGTAACTTTGTGGTTTGTTGATATGATACTGTCTGGCTACATTAAATGTGAGTTCTTGATTCTTTAAAAATCTTTTCTTCTAACTCAGGCTACACCTGGTGGTAAATCTGGGGTTTCAGACGTCCATCTGAAGAGCTTGAATTGAGTTTCTAGAAAAACTGATACAAAATGGTTCCCTTCGGGGATGGTATTTATTGTTTATTGAAATTTCTTTTGGTTACTATTGTTATTAATGATGATACCTACTTTTGAATATGTGTGTAAAATATTGATATTTGCTTTGCTAGGCAAAAAGGATAAGTTACGTGTCTACTATTTGTCCTGGTTAAGAAATAAAATACTTCACAATGATCCGGAAGTTGAGAAGAAGCAGGGATGGACGACCGTGGGGGATTTGGAAGGATGTGTACACTATAAAGTTGGTAAGTTCCAGGAGAGTCAGAAGGGTTTTGTTTTTCCAGGATTTAATTCATGTTCCATTTAAAATTCACATGTGCTTTCAAGCTTTTAATAATAAACTTGTTTCTGATACATGTACCTCCTTTCTGCTACTATGTTCCTAAGGCATCTTCTGATCCTGGGGTCTCATCTAGACCCAGGTGCACCTTTAAGCCTAACACCGTTTATTCCTGCTGCTCACTCTGTCCTCTGTCGTCACGTCCACCCAGCTCGTCTTGTGAGAGAGTCTGCTCACCCTTTCTCTTTGCTGGTCTACGTCTTCTCTGTAAGGAAGCCTTGCCAAAGGAAAGCCAGCCGATTGGGGTCGTCCTGTGTGATCCAGGCTCGCTCTCCATGCAGAGGACTATAGGTCCTTGGCAGTCACTGAGAACGTTTGAGAGTTTCCCCAAATCGCTATGGCTTGTCCTTTTGAATTAAGTGCTCTGTGTAAAGCTGCTGTGCTCTTTACTGGTAAATGAACCTAGCTGGCCAGTGTATCATGGCAACTGTGTTTTTCCTTTTGGCACACATGCTGTGGTTCTCATGAAGTAAGTTCTCATAAGAACAAAACTAAAACAAGTTTTTTTGTGTGTATTAAAAAAAATCAAAATACCGGTACTAATGTTGAAAATAAAGGGGAAATAATGGAACTCAATTGAATTAAAGTTTTATGGGAGAGATGACATATTCTAATATGACATATTCTGATATATCATTTGAAATGGAAAGTTGAGAATATCAACAAATGGTCTATATGTACCTAAGACTTATTAACATAAGAGGCCTATTCAGTGTCAATTTCTGCTATTTTCTTTTTTCTGTGTTTATGAAAATGTGTACTATAGCCAGTTCCTCTGCTCCCAGGGATATTACAGTTCCTGACGTTGTCTTCTGTTTCTCTGTCCACAGCCCTCACATCTCGGTTAATATGATTGCAGGGGCCACCCCAGGGCTGGAAAGTTCTGCTGTCTCCTTTGGTGTAGCCTTTGGGATTAGAGTTTTCTGTGTTTCTTTTTGGGAAATATTTTTATTTGTTGAGGTGTAACTAAATAATATAATTAAAATCATCTACAGCTAAATTTAATGAAACAGCTCTTACCAGCTGCAGTGTTCATGAATAGATTATCCTACAGGGGAAGCTAGCAGCAGGTGTGTTAGATGGAAATGGGCTTTTCATCAGAACAAAACCGCAATCCCCGAGCCTGTCATTCTCGCAGAATGAATCACAAGCATTTTCTGGAGATAAGAGTGTGTAGTACCATTCATTTAAATTTATATTTAAATTAATTAACATGAAATAAAGTTTCAAACTTAGTTCCTCTGTGGCACCAGTACATTCCAAGTGCCCAATGCCACGTGTAAATTGCGGCTATCATATTAACAGTACAGATATAAAAACTTTTGGTATTGCAGAAAATTCTGTGAAACAGTACAACCTCTTATAATCTTTTGTGTCGTAATATTAATATCGGTGACTTATTTGAATAGTGACAATATATGGAATTGAACGAGGGGCGATATCAAGTTAACAAGCCATCTCTCAAGTACAAAGGAAGTCAAGTAGTAGTGTGATAGTAAATAACTCATGAAGGAACTGGTGCATCTGCGCCAGACCAGTAAGGCATGTGGTCAGGGCCCCTCGGAGTATGTGTTTTCAGGCAGAGCTCCCTGGCTGTGAGAACTGCAGCGGCTGTGCACTCCAGGGTAATTATGTATATATTAATAGTTATAGTTACAGTTATACACAGAGGGGACAAAAACATGTATACACATTTTAAGAAAGGAAAAAAACTGTATTCAAATTGTAATACTCAATATATACCAATAACAGAAGATGAAGACAAGTCATGTGTATACATTTTTTTGGCACCCCCGGTATATATAGTTATAGTTACAGTTATATATATATATAGTGATAGTTATAGTTATATATGATAGTTAAATATATATAGTTATATAGTGATAGTTGTAGTTATGTAGGATAGTTATAGTTATATATAGTTATATAGTGATAGTTATATAGAATAGGTATATATAGTTATACTTATGTATATAGTTATAGTTATATAGTTACAGTTATATATAATTATAGTAATTGGGTCATTGGGAAAGTCATTTTTGCATAGAAAACATAGAAAAAATACATCATGACTTTTCTGACGACCCAATATATATAGTTATATAGTTTTATATATATATAGTTGTTATAATTATATAGTTATAGTTACAGCTATGGTTATATATATAGTTATAGTTACATACAGAATTATATAGCAATAGTTATATATAGTTATATATAGTTTATATAGTGATAGTTATAGTTGTATAGTTATATAGTTATAGTTGTATATATAGTTATATACTGTATAGTTATAGTTATATGTATAGTTATATATAGTTATAGTTACAGTTATATATAGTTATAGTGATAGTTATGGATATGTAGTATAGTTATATATATAGTTATGTAGTTATATAGTTATAGTTTTATAGTTATATATATAGTTGAAGAGAGATTTTCTTTGCTGCTGCTCTTTTGGTGCAGAACTTCAGGTAGAACCCTAGCAGTTACTAGGTCTATAGATGAGAAAATGGTTTGTAAGGGAAAGTTGGTCTTGTACGCGGAAATAGACAGAATTCAAACTTAGAGTGCTTTGGTACAGCCTTCTTTGGTATAGTGTTCCTCAGTCTGCCAGCCCCTGCGGGACTCAGGAAAAGCCACATGGAAGGTTTGGCGTCTTGCTGTGATTGTTAGCTGAGTAATGGCATGATTCACCTTTTGAAGTAATCCTGAGCCCTTGAGGCTTTCAGGTGGTGTGCCTGGCATTGCCCTTGGTTACTAAGTACTCGCAGTCTGAGGAACATAGTGAAAGTACTAAGCAGAGATTGGAGCCGAGTCCAGTACAACAACAGGAACCGTGGCAACAGCCTGGATTACCTGTTAAAGAACTTGGGAAAGAAAATGTGAGGCCGCATCTTGCTGTCTTGCTCAACATTTTCTCCTGTTGGTGTGGACAAATCGGTAAAAGGCATATTTATAAAACTTGCAGAAGACAACCAAAACAATAAGAGTTCCACGTTGATTCTGACCTGTGCTTTTTATTTTTGTTTTTGTTTTTGTTTTTCAGTAAAATATGAAAGAATCAAATTTCTGGTAATTGCTTTGAAGAGTTCTGTGGAAGTTTATGCGTGGGCACCCAAGCCATATCACAAATTTATGGCCTTTAAGGTAACAACCTCAAGGGCATGTGAAAGTACCCTGAGCCATGCATGCTGAGACCAAACTCCAGGGAATCAGTTCAAAAACCCTGAACTGTGAAAGCTGATCATTTAACAGCGATGTGCTAATACAGTGCGCACTGTAGCCTAAGAGAGGCTATCTCTATAGTTATAGTTACAGTTATATATAGTTATATAGTGGTAGTTATATGGTATAGTTATAGATCTAGTTACATAACTATAATAACCTCACTGTCTGCTCTCCAAGCCCTTTGAGTGGGAGCAGGAGAGAGCTCAGTGCTAGGCGGACACTTTGATCCATGTGCCAATGTGGCAACAGAGGAAAAGGCAAAGCAACAACATTTCCATTTAAAAAGCAGACATTGACCTTTCTGCCTAAAGTCATGGATGTGTATAAACATTTAGATATGTTTTTGATAACAAAGATGTATCCAACATTAGGCAGCTTTTAAGGTATATATTCAGTAGAGTACTAATTAAAAATTAAATTGTGAAATGCTTAATGACACAAGGAATGTGCATTATACATTAGAAAAAGAAAGTTAAAAATATGTATAAAATACCACTTTTGTTTAAAGAAAATAGAAAAATATTAGTTATTTGATGTGAGTATTTTTATGATTTTATTTGATTGTAGAGTTTGCATTAGATATAAATTAATGAAACTTAATTAAAAATGACATCACTGTGACATTAAATATTATAAATAACTTAACATCATTTATAATATTGGACATAAAACCTGAAGCATATCCCCCGGGACTGTTGAGTTCAGTACCAGAAATCAAGAATTTTTCATCCAAAACGATTCTGTTTACTCATTTTAAAAAATAGTTGTGATATATTTTATTAAGGGTAAGCTTCAATTATTTGGAAAATTGACACATTTAGATTGCTTGTTGCTTGATTCCTTATAAAGCAGATTAAACGGGTTTACTTTATTTGCTTAAAAAATAAATCGATGTATTATTGACTGAAAGCTGATTATAAAATTACATTGATCTTCTGAGATCTGCTCTTCATGTCCTTTATGTTACAAATACTGTACTAGTTGCTTTTAATATCTTATTTAAATGTGTCTTGTGAGCTGCAGTTACTGATATTAATGAAGAGCTAAGACCACCCTGTATGTTATAGGCTGTCCAGGCCTGTGTATTACAGCCTTCCGCCACCTTATCACTCTAGTTGGAAAAGGAAAGTGGAAGTCTAATAGTGTCAGACACAGGTCAGATAGTGACAGTGATGATCACACCGATGGATCTCAGCGTGCAACTCCTACAGCTCCTCCCTGTCCATTGTCTGCATTGAATAGCTGAGTAGTCTGTCCTCATTATTTCACTTTAGATGTTTTTCTCACCAGCGCAAACAACAGGACGGTCAGTGGCAGAGCAGAATTCTTGGGAAGTGTCTTCTAGATGCTCGTTAACAAACAAAAGCATAATAAATTACAGACTTATTTTAGAGTATTTTTGTTTTTGGCTTGAATGGCGTGGCCGTGGCTTCTGTAGTTTGACCTTCTAGAAATCCGTTCTGCGTGGTCTCACGGCCCCTCTCGGTCACTTGTCTGCAGTCGTTTGGAGAACTGGTGCATAAGCCATTGCTCGTGGACCTCACCGTCGAGGAAGGCCAGAGGCTGAAAGTGATCTATGGGTCCTGTGCTGGGTTCCATGCCGTCGACGTGGACTCAGGATCAGTGTATGACATTTACCTACCAACACACGTAAGAAAGAACCCACACTCTATGGTTGGTTGACTGGCTTCATTTTGTTTTGACTTTTTTCTTTACTCTGCTTAGTGAACTAACACAAGCAGGGTTTCCTTACTTCCCCTGGTGTGGGGGTGAGTATTTAAATGATGCACCATTTTCAGTAGCTCCATGATCTGAGACAAGTGGACATGGTCTCCTGGAAACCTCTTAGCCCTGGCTTTGACTAACATGGGACGGATTGGGGGCAGTTGCTGGCAGGTCAGAACATCCCTAGGTTGGGAGTGGTTTAAGGAACATAATTTCTTAAATGGAGCCCACAACCCAAATATGTCCCGGGGAGCTCAGGACATGTGAACTGGTAGAGTATATGACCTATAACATGTAGACTTTGGGATGTATTACTAGATCACATGGGTTTCTCAACAATGTTATCGGAACGCTGTATTGAGCACCAGGAATAGGAACCAGTGCATTTGCCAGGACTCTTTCTAAGCACTTCTGCAGGGGTAGAAATAGCCACAAACCCGCGTCCCTGTGCTTTGTCCTCTCGTCTAGATCCAGTGTAGCATCAAACCCCATGCAATCATCATCCTCCCCAACACAGACGGGATGGAGCTTCTGGTATGCTATGAAGACGAGGGGGTTTACGTGAATACCTACGGAAGGATCACCAAGGATGTGGTTTTGCAGTGGGGAGAGATGCCAACGTCTGTGGGTACGTGTCACCCAGAGGGCAAGGCGGCGTTTGTCAGAGTGGAGCCCTCTCTAAACTACATGTTTGTCATCCCTGCTTTACATGCTCTCTGGACTGTGGGCTATTTAGCAGGGTGCTTGGCCAGCGATGGTGGAAAGTTAGATTGAGGCTGGTCATAGTGTGTTGTAGAACAGAGAATGCAAGCAACTATTTAATACTTTAGAAACTCCTGTCATTCAAATCTTTCATTTAAGACATCCAGGGAAAATAGGGCTGCTGTGGTTGCTGAGTGATTGTGGGAAGTACAGGGAGACAGAGGTGGTTTGCTTCTTGCGAGTGGCAGAGCCACAGCCAGAAGCAGCCTGTTCGTGTGCGGGGGGCAGCGGCAGGAAGCAGGTGCGGGGACGGAGGGAAGGGCTGAAACTCCCACAGCTCTCAGCTTATCCCCCAGACAGTGTGGTTTTGTTGCACCTAAGTCACCGCCTGTCTACTTGTCATTTCTTCTTCCTGCCTTCCCTCATGACTGCTTTGATGAAAATGTAAGCACAGAACTATAAACTCAGTAGGCAGTTGCTCAAGATAAGCATGAAAGGCCTCAGGGAAATTAATAGATTCAACCATTGAGTCAAATGACCACTTCCCAGGACAGAGTTCCTTAAAAACAAAACTCCTTAAATGCTGGACGTTTGGGGGGGGGGGGGGGGGGTGTAGTTGAAGGAACCTGGAGCAAGCTTGGGAGGAATGGAGAAAGTCACAGTGGCCATGAATGGGCATGNTGTGTGTGTGTGCGCGCGTGCATGCACAAGTGAGTGAGTGTGTGTGTGTGTTTTAGTATGTGAGAGTGAGGGGGTGGGGAGGACATGAGCAGCATCTTCTCATGGCTGTCTCCTCTAACAATGTGTGTTCTCCCCTCCAGCGTACATCCGATCCAATCAGACGATGGGCTGGGGGGAAAAGGCCATAGAGATCCGGTCTGTGGAAACTGGTCACCTGGATGGGGTGTTTATGCACAAAAGGGCTCAAAGACTGAAGTTCTTATGTGAACGCAATGACAAGGTGACGGTGTCCTCATAGAGTCTTTTTACTTGCTACTGCCTTTTAATGGTGGCTTATCTTTCATGGAGTTTGGTGAAGTTTTTCCTTAGGGTTTTAATAGATTCTGAAATAAATTCACCTAGGAACTTTTTAGGAGTGACTTTTCAGACCTGTTTATGGGGGGGTGGGGTATATGTATATATTTTGCTGTGAGTGGATAGAGATATTTATCTCTGCAGAAACCATCATATATTGTGTTTATTTTAAAACCCCATTGGTGACCTGTCACAGCTGCTTGGCTTAGGGATAGGGAAGGTTCAAGCTGCCAGTTTCAGTGGGTGGGCTTTTCCGTGGTTAGAAGAAAGTACCCATGCAGACGCGGATAGGGTGGAAGGGTCCTCTCCCCTGATGTGTATCAGGAAGATACATACCACTTGTTCACCTGCCTTTTCAGTAGTGAAATAGCGTCACTGTTCGCCTGTCAGGGGCCTAACAGTACAAATCATTTTATGCAGAAACACAACCACCTCTAGCAACTGAGACCTCAGGGCATTGAAACTCCAGTAAAAACCTTTGTTTTTTCAAAACTGATGATATGCTTGTCTTCTGATTGTGCTACTCACTCTCCAGGAGTCCTTCCCAAAACCAGCCTGAGTGCAGCAGCTCATTGGCCCAGGGGCTGACCTGTCCTGCCTGCTTTGGGAAGGACGTGGCGGGGGTGGGCGGGGGGACATGGGGGCCCAGCGTTCTCTCCTGTCCACTCAGATAAAAACAGTCTGACGACCTGAGGCAGCCCACTGCCTCTTAACATTTCCGTCTGTTGCTTTGTGTTAAAATAGAGTAAACGTTCTAGCAACCAGGCTGCAGGTTGGCTTCTCAGGTTCAGTTTAGAATTTTGACATGACTGAAAAAAGCTGTCGCTGTGTCCCCCCACCACACCTGCCTGCTGCGTGCTCAGCACAAAAGCCACATCCCCACCAGCCACTCACTCCTGCAGTTGGAACAGTCATTTGCGAAGGAGTTGACTTTTTTCCCCCTATATAATCTCTCCCAAATCTTTTTCCTTGAAAATCCATACAACCCCAGACCTAATCCAGGATTTTACCAGCTTTTTGGCTTATATTTTCCTAAGTATATGTAATGTAGCCATAACTATAATATTCTTTGGACTTTTGGTATTTAAATAATTTTAGCATTCATGATGTCAATATCCTTTAAAGTTTACTAGTAAAAGATGCAAAATTTTTATACTGTGTTGAACCATATGAAATAACTAAGACATTTTAGCTTAATTATTTAAGAGAGAAAAATCAGGCTGCCGAGAAGCCCTCCCCGCTGCTTGCTGAGTTTTCGCAACACCTTCATGTTTTAGAAGGTGCTTGCAGTGGACGTAAACAAAGTAGCCCAATTTCAGAAACATCATTGTTTTTTTTTCCTTTGGAGTTCTCACAATATGGCAGTATACAAGGAGTTATCTGACTACCCTGTTTCCCCCAAAATAAGACCTAGCCAGAAAATAAGCCCTCACATGATTTTAGGTGCCAAAATATGGCACCTTGGCTTACTGGATATTTGAAGCTGAAGGAGTTTGTGGGAAAGGCACCCTTCTCCCTGAAACAGGTCATAAAATCCTCATGTGAGGGGTGCGTGCCCTCCATATCCTGGAGGAATCGTGCTAGGCTTCTTCTCCGGCTAGGGCTTATTTTTGGGGAATTGACGTCCTCTGGGACTTTGTTTTGAAAGGGGCCTCTGGGCTTGTAGCTTCTCCGTGGGGAGGCGTGCAGGTTGCTGGGGGCTCTGGGTCACGGCCTGGGAGCTACAGGAAGTGTGGCTCCCACAGACAGTATTGCGTTTTCGTGCAAACCCCTTTTTCCTCTTGCTTGGCAGGTATTCTTCGCATCTGTTCGGTCTGGTGGCAGCAGTCAGGTTTACTTCATGACGCTAGGCAGGACTTCTCTGCTGAGCTGGTAGAAGTGCTGCGGTGAGAGTGGCCAGCCCCAGAGTCGTCACGATCCTGAGAACTTGGAATTCCTGGCAACTGGAGCTCAGAGCCGCACAGGGGGAGTCCAGGACAGACAGCTGTGTGCTCAGACACCACGCGTGGGGCTCTTGTCTCCTCTCCTTCCTGCTCCTCCCCTACCAGGCTCCCCCCATTCTTTTCTTTTCCTTACTCAGAAAATAAAGGCTGCCATGCAGCTGGTGCTGTTCACATTCTACCATCAGGTGCTACCAGTGTTCGGGCTCGAGCATCAGACCAGAAAGCAAATGCCTTTCCTTCAGCTCCAGAATTCCTATCTCTGAGTGACTCTGTCGTACGGGTGTCTGAAGGTGGAGACCGTGAACATGCCGCTGGTTTACTGGAAGTGGGCACAAGGAGGGGGAAAGTGGTGGTCTTAATGAGCAGTTTGCTGAAGCAGATTTAATATAGTAACATTAACAATGTATTTAATTGACATTTCTTTTTTGTAATGTGACAATATGTGGACAAAGAAGAAGGTGCAGGTTTAAGAAGTTAATATTTATAAAATGTGAAAGACACAGTTACTAGGATAACTTTTGTGGGTGGGGCTTGGGAGGCGGGGTGGGGCGGGTTAAGGGGGTCCCATTTTCGTTTCTTTGGATTTTTTTTTTTTTTTTGGCTTGGCCAAGAACTCAGCCATTTTTCTGTGTACCAGGTTTTGCCTACATCATGTGCAGATGGTTCTTTTAAAAAAAAAAAAAGAAAGAAAGAAAAAGTGTGCATTTGTATAATGGCCAGAACTTTGTTGTGTGACAGTATTAGCACTGCCTCAGTTAAAGGTTTAATTTTTGTTTAAACCTAGAAGTGCGACAACAGTTTTACCACAGTCTGCACTTGCAGAGGAAAAAAAATTTTTTTTCAACCACGTTTATTTTTTTTGCCTACCTCATTGTTTTTAATGCATTAAGAGGTGGTTTAGTTTATATGTTTTTGGAGGAAAACATTAACATTTAATTTAATCTTAATACCAAAACTATCAGATTGAAGTTTGACTGTTATTTTGTCACAGGTCTCAGTAGGCACAAGAGAAATTGTCCCTGAAGATGGGAAGTAGCCAGAGGCTTGATCACGCTGACTGATGCAGCCTGCTTTCTAAGTGCAGAGAGCAGGGTGCTTTGTTTTCACCACTTTCGCCTACAACACACGGGGCCTCATTGTCTCAATCCGGGGTTTGCAGCAGACAGGTGGTCGCTTTAGAATAGTCACACAAACTGCTCAGTGTTGCAGGAAACTTTCTGGGGTTTGGGGGGGTATTTCCCTTTTCTAAACATGCAATGCACTAAAACTATTTTAAGAATGTAGTTAATACTGCTTATTCGTAAGGCGGCATCTTCCTGTGTTCAGGTGTGATATCGGAGCCCTGGCTTTTCTTGTTCTCTTGTTCTCTCTCTGTTTTTTAAACCAGTTTTACTTTATGAATATGTTCATGACATTTGTAATAAATGTCTTGGGTAATAATTTGTTTCATGGCTCCATGGTCACTCAATTCCTCTGAGGATATCCATCTCTTGGTCAAAGATGACGCTCAGTGCCGCCATCTTCCTTTTCTGTCGTTGGCTCCTGTGGGGGCACTTCCTGACGGCCACTTGAAACACAAGCTTGGTGTTCCATGGGCTTAATCCTCCTTGGGGTTCATTTTCTTTCATAACATGAAAGGGGACTTGCCTCCCAAAGCTGTAATGGTCATTTGTGCCTCTTCGCCCAGGCTTCGCCCAGCATTCTCCTCTCTGATCCGTTCTGACGGCTGTTACCGGCTCTTCCTCCGGGCTCAGCATTTTTGCCAAAGGCTCTCCTTTGAATTACAGAAATCTAGTGAAAAATAAATGCACTCACAAATATAGAAACAGCTGGTTGTACATATCCACAAAGGCAAGATATGCTGGGACAGCCTTTCTTTGGGGAGAACAAGGCGGTGGAAATGGTTTGTCCGTCCGTGTGACTTTGGAGTAGTGCTAATGTCAAAGCAGAAAGAGCTAGTTGTTTTTGACTAATTTGTAGTTAACATAGAGAAGATTGAAGAGCTGTTCCCACGTTTGGGAGGGACTTTGGAGATAGGCCACATTCCATCACCACAGGACTTCAAAGTAAAATTATCTTTGGCAATTTCCTACATGTGTTTTGGCTTTTCAAGTCAGACGACATGTGCCACAGTGAACGTGTGTGTGTGTGCCAAGAAGAGAAAGAACTGGATGGCTGGGTCCATTGTAGCCTTTCCCACGGCTGTAGAGAGAGGTGAAAGTTGGGCCAGGTGTCTTTGAAAAAAATACTAAACTTCTGATACTAATATGGAAGAAATAAAAAAGGATGAGGTATCCATGGTCTTAATTATCCACAAACTTGAAACTCGGTGTCTGTAACTCAAGGGGTGTCACACAGATAATGCAGACGTTTTCTTGGAATTACTGAGTGTTTGGAATGAGATGAAAACTGGATTCCCCTTAATGTGCTGGGGTCTGAGCTCACGTCAGAATCGTGCTTGCCCTGCTCGCACCACCCCTGGCACCCACCTGGCACTCTCCTGGTGTTTGAGCTGAACTAAGCTGAACGGAATTGAATTCAGTGGTGGGCTTACTCTACTGAGCTCCGGCAGCCATTGTCCTTGTGACGCGGGGCTCCTGGTGTATGCCTTCTCTCCGTGGCCTCACCGCCTTGGCATCCAGGCCGTGTTGCTGCAGCTTGGAGCAGGAGCCCAGTTAGGTTTCTCCATAAAACCTCATGGGCTGTTGAAATTCCATTCTTCTAGAGAAGGGGTGATTTTGTTCCTTTAGCAGGGTATTGACTTCACGGAAGTGCCACGATGGCAAAATTACAAAAGAAAACAGTGTTATGATATCATTAAATACAGAACATTGAAAACTACTACAGCAGTGCTCTTCAAAACAAAACATTGACACATCTCTAGGTTTAGTCAAGGCTTTAATAAGGAATGCCTTCCTGTATTTAAATCAGAGTAACTATTGAGTGCAGTGTTTTTACTTTTTTCTCATGCACGTGTTACATTGGAGAAAATGTTTACAAACGTGGTTTTGTTACACTAATGCGCATCACATATTTATGGTTTATTTTTAAGTGACTTTTTAAATGGGTTATTTAGTTTTTTGTCTTAGCTCTAGTCCACGTAGGGTGGATTCATAATCCCTAATTTTGCCAACTATAAATTTGCTAAACAGTAATACCAGTGACAAACTGCATTAAATTTACTAATCATAGAGCTGCAAAGCAAGACTGGTGGCAAGCACATGGCCTTTTTTTTTTTCCCCCCAGTGCTAACTTGTCTTCTGTGTATTATGAAAATTACTGTTGTTCTTCCCCTCCCCCCCTTTTTTTCCCTTAAATAAAGTAAAAGTGACACCTATTTTCTGTGGCATGAGTTTCAAATATATCGTGATCCTTCAAATTGTTGCCTTCCTATAAGGATCCACATTTTATGCACACCTCCTTTCCTAGGGCCACCCCTGACCTGAGTGGGTGGCACCCCCTTCCTGCTGTCTCCCATAACGGGTTGCCCCAGGGGTCACCACACACAAGTTATGAAAGTAGCAAATTTTGTTCAAAGATCTCAGAATGAAATTGGTGGTAAGCTCTCAATCACCATGTTCTTGAAGCCAAAAGGGAGTAAAGCTGGTCCTTAAGGAAGAAATACGTTTTATTTTTTGCTGAATTGGATCCAAAAGTAAAATAGCATTTCGTCTGTACCTAATAGGACAGAGCAGCCCTTTCTCAAAATGGCGCATATATACTAACTTAGGTCTAACGAGCTCCTTCGGTGCAAGGTCAGTGTGGCTGAGTCTCTGGGATGTGCCCCATCGGTTCCCCCACAGGTCTGACGTAGTGATGGCCATGGGCAGATCTGGGCCACGTTATTGGGGTCAGCACCTCGCCCGAGACCCCGGGGTTGCGGAGACGTGGCCATGGCTACGTTATTATAAATTAAACGTGCTGCTGAACTAGCTCCTTTGTGCTTCATATGCAAAACATGTTACTTGTCTAAGGTGAAATAAAATTGTAAATACCTAGGTCGCCTGTTGAGTAGGGTTTTTCCTTGCTGCTTGTTGGTGATTGGGAATAAAAACCCGGCAGAGTGCTAGTTGTCTTGGGACTGCCGCCATTCACGCGTCCTGTCCTGACTTCCCCCTCAGCGGGTTGACAGTTCATGTACCGGAAGCAAACAGGAGCAAGTCAGCCCCATAAGTGACACCGGCTGTGTGTTGTGGCGTCACATTCAGGGGTGCAGTGAGATGGTTTTCTCTACCATGTCCAAAGCAAAAAAAGTAAATACATTGCCCATGCTTCACTTCAGGAGAAGTAGGTGTTAAATTTTTTTTTTTTTTTTTTAGCTTTATTGGGTAACTGTTTCTCCCAGAACCCATCAGCTGCAAGTCAAGTTGTCCTTCAATCTTAGTTGTAGAGGGCATAGCTCAGCTCCAAGTCCAGTTGCCTTTTTCAATCTAGTTGCAGGGGGTGCAGCCCACTATCCCATGTGGGAGTCAAACCGGCAACCTTGTGAAGAGCATGCACTCTAACCAACTGAGTCATCCAGCTGCCCAGTGGTGGCAGCTCAGCTCAAGTCATTGTCTTCAATCTAGTTGGGTGTGTGTGGGGGGGAGGGGGGTGATGCAGCCCACTGGTCCATGTGGGCATCGACCCGGCAACCCTGTTGCTCAGAGCTTGCACGCTCTAACCAACTGAGCCATCCGGCCACCCCGGTGTTCTGTTTTATAAAGTAAAACAGTTAAGGAATTAATAGTTGGGCAAAGTCGTTACTACATTTTCTTACGGGAGAAGTAATGTGTGTTCCAATACTGGGTTATCATATCTGGCCTACCTCTGCTCCCATCTTAAGGTGAATCATATTACACTCACGTTGCCAACTCTTCCTGAGGCTGCCCCCTCTGCCTCTGCCTGGCCCGACCTCTGTGCTTCCTGTTAATAACCTGATATCCTCATTCCCTGAGGACACGTGGTGGTGTCTTGTTCACTATTTGTGTCTGCCTGCATAGAGCCTGCACTGGCGGAGATCAGTTCTCAGGTTTGACCATTGGTTATATCCTAAGTGCTCTGCTCTAGCAGACCCTCAGAAATCCCTGCTTGTTTGCTTGAGTGACATGAAATCAAACCCTAATGTTCATCCATGGGGAAACCAGCCCGCCTGTGCAGTGTGGGACTTGTGAGCACGTACCTTGGTGTAGCCAGGCCCCAAGAGGGCGTGGAGGGCCCCCTGCCCTATCCCCCTGCTGGGCACCAGGCCTCTGCCCCATGCAGGCCCCCTGTCTGTCCTCAGCAGTCCCGTTGCTGCTTGCCTGGCTTGCTGTCAACAGCACTGGTCCCTGGATTTCTACGTCATGTCTCCTAGTTGGCTTGGTTATAGGAAATTGGGATTGGATGGTCTAACTCAAAATGATACAAAATTCTTATTTTTATTTTGGTCTAAGCCATAAAATTCTGGCAGCGTACCCACCGGAAGTTCTGTGGAGGGATGTGAATAGAGCTTGAGCAAAGCAATTTGGCCCCTTCCTTAAATTTATTTGGAAGTCGGACACAACGACAAATGTTACAGATCAATATTAAACAGCTTTTTCACAATAAATGATACTGAATACTAACCTGGTTATTTTTTAAGCAGATTTATTGAAATGTAATTCATATACCATACAATTCACTCATTGAAAGTATACAGTTTAGTGGACTCATTCTATTCAGGGTTATGCACATATGTCGCCACCACAATTTATAAACATTTTTATTGGCCCAAGGAGACACCTCACACTGCTTTGTCATCCCCTCGTCTGCCCACCTCCCCATCCTGTTAAGCTTTAGGCAACCACTAATCTACTTTCTCCTTTGGACCTTGCATATAAATGGAGTCATAACGTGCATCCTTTGAGACTGGCTGCGTTGATGTAACAGAATGCTTTGTGGTTTATCCGTGCTGTAGCTTGGAGCCATACTTTGTTTCTTTGTATTGGCATCCTTGGTTCCTAATCTTTGTCACTGGTGCCTTCCTTCAAGCTTTAAAACCAACCACCTCACTGACAGCCAACTAGGTCCCAGCTGCAAGTTAACCTTTGACCATGATTACAAGGTCCCAGAAAGGGATTCCTGCTGAGATGTGTTTTCAGTCTGAGCTCTTAGAAACCCAGTGACCCCTCTCCCCAGAGGTCATGGTGCTAAGCAGGCTCATGCACGGGGTGGATTTGGAATGGAGACTGTCCTGGAAGCACACTGGCCGTGTCTGCAGACGTGGGTCCTGCCTGCGCACAGACAGCAAGACTCCGACCTCCGGGAAGTTGGGGACTGGTGCGTGTTCTCCCTGATGTCCAAGGCCTGGATAAGGACACTCAGGTTGTCCCTTTAACTTAAATGTGCTCACCCCTAGGAAGGGACATACAATCTTGTCCTGCTGAGCCAGACCCTTTTTCATCCTGGACAGATAAATACAACTGTCACATTTGAAAGGACCTCGTCCTCTTGGCACCTCTATTTTACTGGCATCGTGAAAGTATTTCCTCAGTGCTGCCTCCTGGAAGGCCACCTGATTGCTGGCCTCTACTTTTTCTTGCAGGGTCCATTGTTGAGTAAGTGTAGGTGCTAGTAATGTTCTGGGAACTTGGTGGCATTTTGGTCAATCTAACAAGTTGAGCAACCACTGGTTGCTGAGCAGTCTTGAGGTACAGTGCTCCTTTGAGAAAATGCAGGGGGTTGTCTAAAGGGACAAGTCTGGCAATGGTGCTCAGTGTATTCTCCATGTGAAAGTGGAGCCTTTAGTGGCGGTGCACATGAAAAAGATGGACACTTTTTAGCTAAAACAGTAAAGTGGCTGCCAAAGGAGCTGGTATGTTTGGACTGTATGGGTAAAACAAGTGAGAAGATGCTGCCTCCAGTGGGTAGGGCACACTCGGCTGCATACATTCATGGGGTCCAGACCATCTGCACAGGATAGGGACCCGGCTGGGAAGGGCTCCACAGCAGTTCCCCTAAAGAGTGGTTTAAAGAAAAGGCAATACAAATAATTAACATCGACTTGTAAAGATTGTTCAACGAATCCACCCATCCTAGTGTGGGGTTATTAACAATGATGAAGGTCGCAAATACTTCCTGTGTGTTTGTTGTACACCAGGTGCGTACTAAGGGCTTGTACACACATCCTCTCAGCCTGTAGGAGAGAAAAGATGGGGCACCCACTTGTGGACTTCACTGTGTTTGGAGAGATGTCAAGGGCAGGAGGTATTGCTCTGCAAGGTGCCGAGTGGGTTGAATCCACAGAGAACCTGCTCCAGTATGAAAGGTACAGTCAGAACTGGGCTGGATGAAGCTGGCTGGCCAGGTCCGTGCCTTGAGGCTGCCTTTGTCGGGATGTAGACAAGGTCCCTTGAGGTGTGTTGGGATTAGATATATACAATGTGGGTAACCAGTCCTAGCGCCATTTGAGAACATTTTTGAATCCACGTATAACATGGCTTTGGAATTCCTTGTAAACGAATGGATTTTTGAGCAAATAGGTATTTAGGCAATAACCTGAAGAGTTCCTCTCTCTGCAGCAGCGATGGGATAGGAAATGGCGTAGATGGGAACGTCTTCTAGGACTCATTTGATTCCTCTTTCCCGGTAACGTGGCTGGCTCTTTGGTCCTGCAGACTCTCACCACAGGAAAATGGGCAGGTCCTGCTGGATCTGAGAGCAGGCAAAGTGATTCTGTTCAGTCCTGGAGGATTTGCCACATTTAGTCAGCCCTCCAGGTTGCAAAAGAGAAATGGTTGCATGTTCCCAGATCCAACTCTTTCTCAGATTTCCAGCATCATTTAAACAGTGGAATGCCAATATATGAAGCAGAGAAAAGAGGTATTGGTGTGGACTTTAGAGGCAAATTTATAACATTCTGCAGATGAAATGGTGAGAACTGATACGGCTTTACTATTAGTGTTTATGGATAACAGCTGTCAATGTCTGTATCACATTTATTTTTATTTTTCAGTTCTCTCATGTGGAGATAATTCTGATGCCAACAGGTTATATGACTGCAGTTTTTAAACAGCTAACCTTGCAAGAAAAGAACCTAGATGTATGAAGTCAACCATTTGGGGATATTTTTTAGTGATTTAGACATAGCAGCAGAAATTTTTTAAAGATGTGCATAAAAATAAGTTAATCTGTTAACCAACTATCGTTTTGTTGGTCTCTAGTATAAAATATAAACTTAAGTGTACGTGTTAAAAATGTTAATATATTTTATTTAACTCCATATTCCAAAATATAATTTCAACATGTAATCAATATTTTCAATGATAAGATTGTTTACATTTTTTTTCATACTAAGACTTTGAAATCTGGTGTGTTTTTCACACTGTACATGCTGAC